TTTGGTCAATTTCAGACTGTAGAAGCTGATAAAATTCTTCAATTTCCTCATGTGTGGCTTTGGTGGTTGGGGCATATGGTTTATCTAGTTTTCTGATAAAGATACTGAAGCTCAGAAAGTCCCTTCTAGCAATATCAGCAGCAACAGCAGCAAGAATGCTGCTCTTGATCACAGTCTTTCATTACTTGAAGACTTTAACAACAACTTTCCTACAGAGTCATTTTGTACTTTGAGTTAGTCATATCTCTAAGGAAGAAGATCCAATCACAACACAGGCCCATATTATTCCAAAGCCTAGCACCTTTAAGCCACTTATGTCTGCATATCTCTGTCGATCTATCTACCTACCTCCCTTCCTAACTGCCCCTCCCTCCTGGGGCACTCTCAATATCCTTCTCAGAGGAACCTAGGCAAGTAGTATAACTACTCAAAAGCAGCAATGGAAGTGAACTTTAACTTCTTTCTCTGTGCCAGGCATTATGCCACCTCCTCCTTATGCACTATTTTATTTAATCATAACAAAAATCCAGTTTTACTGATGAGGAAATTCAAACACAGAGAGGTTACGTAACCAGGCAAGAAGATCAAGCTAGCATGCAGTTGAATCAAGATTTGAACATAGGTTTGTCTGACACGAATATCCTTGCATATTAGCAGATAATGAGAAAGGGTAGGGCCATTTCAGACTATTGAAAATCTTCTTTTTGCAGGTTCCAGACCTGTGGTGTTACTGCAGCATGGTCTACTTGGAGATGCTAGCAACTGGATTTCCAACCTACCCAACAACAGCTTGGGCTTCATTCTGGCAGATGCTGGTTATGATGTGTGGCTGGGAAACAGCAGAGGAAACACCTGGTCTCGTAAACACAAAACCCTCACCACAGACCAAGATGAGTTCTGGGCTTTCAGGTATATGAAAATCTTGAGAGTGGAGGTGGATATGGACGTCTTGGGGAAAACTGGGTAAAGAAGTATGGCTTCTAATATTTGGATAATTTACTTTGATTGGGTCTTCAGTATCCTAACAAGAAACTCAAAGGTGGGTTACTCAAAAAGCTTACAGATTAGCAAGTAAGCACAAGTAAGTCCATGATTATCTTGATTATCAGGTAATCCAACACTGATGAAACCCCTCCAATTATCTTACTTAACTAATGATTCTTGTGGGGAAGTAGTGGAGAGATTGGATTCCCAAGTGGAAGGTGGGATCTTTCTAATGGGATGAGACTGGTGGTTGGTGGTCACTTTATTCTGGAGAATTAAATAAGAGAAGTGTGTATTGGTCCATTGCCTTGCAGAAGGGTATCCTGGATTAATGCTTGGCATCACACTGTAGAGTGATGCTGAGGGCAGTGCCCAGAAGGAGATGAGACTAGGCAACATTAAAGAAATAAGAGAAACTATTAAACCCAGAGTCATCAACTAACCACATCCCTCAGGTACTTACAAAAAGATTTTAATATTTTATGGAAATCACCTGTTGATATTCAACCTACTCTTTATACATTTCATCAGAGAAAAGGCCCTGCAGGCTCTTTAATACTTTTTATATGAATACATCTACATGGATGGCTGTTCAGCTAACAGTATATCAGGACACCTCCATTAGTAAATATTCATTAAAGGTGATTATTGGCTTCTCTATAACATTTGAAGAAAACAGTATTTGTTGACAGCCTGTGATTCCAGTGACACCCATGCATCATAGGTTTGATACAAGGAAGTTCTGAGTGTTTTGAGGGACACAGTAACAGGCTGTTGGAACTGACCCCTCAAAGGCTTGCTTGTTAACCACCAGTTTGCTTTTGTCTGTTTCTGATGATAATTTTTCATGTAACTTTGTCTTTTCCCCTTGTAGTTATGATGAGATGGCTAGGTTTGACCTTCCGGCAGTGATAAACTTTATTTTGCAGAAAACGAGCCAGGAAAAGATCTATTATGTCGGCTATTCACAGGGCACCACCATGGGTAGGTTCAAAGGAACACAGGTTTGTATACGCAGAAGAAACGTGAACATGTGCCCATCTCACCTCATGCTGCTCTCAGATACGGTTCCCATGACTTGAAGGGCCACAAGGACACATAGAAAATTGAGGGAGGCTTGTGGTATGGTGGAGAAAGCAAGGGCTTTGGCGTCAGACAGATGTGGATTCAAATACTAGCACTACCACTTCTTAGGTAAATAAATTTGAGCAAATTATTTTACCTCCCGGGTCTCAGTTTAAGGAGCTCTGGTGGTGCAGTGCCTAAGGCATTTGACTGTTATCCAGAAGGTTGGTGGTTCAAACCCACCAGCCACTCCATGGAAGGAAGATGGGGCAATCTACTTCTGTGAAGATTTACCAACTCAGAAACCCAACAGGGGTTGCTATGAGTCAGAATCAACTCAATGGCAGTGAGTTTGGTTTTTTAGTTTTGGTCTCTGTTTCGTTATCTGTGAGACAGGGATAAAAATGCTTTCCTCTTAAGGGTACTTGGTATATTCACCATGATAATATGTATAAAGTTAGAGTGCAAGCTCTGTGAAAGCAGCAACTTTGTCTAAGACACTGCTGGAAGAGCACTTCCTGGCACATACTGTGTACTCAATAAATACGTGTGAATTCATGAATGAAGCCCTGAGTTTGGTGTCATGTATCTGAGAGCAATCAGTAAACAGTAAGAATTACCATAATTTTATAAACAGAACTGAGGGAAATTTTACTCAGCTCTTTCTGGAAAAATCTCAGCCAGCTCTCAGTTAAACTCAAAGGATGTTTATTGTTCTCTTAATTCAACAACTCACCATGGGAGTCCATTTTAAGCCATTTGGTTTCTGAGACCTCAACAGGCCATCCAGTCACTTTGGCCACTGACACTGATTTACCAGGTGATTTGCTTCTGCAAAACCTTGTAATGTGCAGAACTTCTTCAAAATGACTGTTACCAACAGCCCGGAGTTTACCCCTTGCTAGTTATTTATGAATGGAGTAGTCCACAGGCATTCCTCAGGTTTAGTTCTGTCCTCAAGCGAGTGGATAAAATACTTGCTCTAAGAAATGTCAAGCAAAAAAGCCACACTGAAGGTGGAGAGGTTTTATGAAAATCAGGTGTTTTCTGGGAAAGTCTCTTTCCAGATTGTTTAAGCCTTTCCTGGAAGTTACTCTGAGTAAGCCAACCCATGCTGAGGGAAGAGTGTGAGACTCACAATTAACCTGGTTAGCAAAGGCTAAACTATATGGCCTGGACTCCCTGGCTCACCTGGCTTGTCTAGTTAATCCTGTGTGAAGCAGAATAATGGTAATTTCTATTTAACTCCTCTTATCCTTTCATATTCGAATCAGTCACAACTTTACTGTATGGACCTGCTGGGGAGGTGTGAGCCACAGGAGGTTTATATGCATTAATCATACTGAAAGCTCTTTCTCAAGCTCTTTCCGAGCAATGATTTATGGTCACTACTCACAATGATGTTATGTCAAAGAATAAAATGAATTAAAATCAGCAGTTCTGATGACTCTAGGACTGTCGGAATTCAAGACACAAATTTGATTTTTACATTTTCCCTTCCTTATTTTGCAATGGTGTTAAGTTATTCAAGTGTGCTTGCTATCACCAGGCCTTTCCAGAAAGTTAGGGTGCTTTGTCTATTCTGACTCTAATTTCCAGCAGCCTCTTAAATTTTTTTCTCTACATTCCAAGTTCTTCAGTAGCCTGAAGAGAGAGTTGCTGACAGAGAGGCTAAATGCTATTTTAAGGGGCTGATGGCATACCTGGAAGAGCAAAAAATTGTAACAAGTTACTTTTGCTCTTGTGTCTAGCAATCTAATCAGATGGAAGAAAAGTAGAGAAAGAATCAGTTTTCTTTCACACTCAGTAACCTTCTGGGAAGTAGAAAGAAGTCATGGGTTCTAGTTTTCCCTCTGCCCAAGCTCCTAAAGCTGCAAGTATCAGCCAAGGTAGGGAGTGTACAGACTCATTTGAAATGGATACACAGTATTTCAAATATAATGACCATGCCCAGGCTTTATAGAACAGCCTTTTTCTCCTAAAAATATCTGCCACAGAGATTGTTGCTGTACAGGGGTGATTCAGGGCATTCATGTCTCTATTTCATAGATAAAGAAACTGAGACACAGACTAATTTATCCAAGTGTCTGGCAGGAATAAGTATTGGAATTCAATCCACAGGACAATTTGTCCATTAGATTATGTCACTATTTGGATTCTAGAAAAGGAAAAACACCTCAAAGCTGGCTATTCTCTATGTCCATTGTGTAACAGAACATACTCGTTATCAATGAACAAGGCAGCTTCTCTGATTCTCAATTGCTTTCTCTGTAAAAAGTAAATTAATTGAAACTGTGCAAGATTCCAAGCATTAACTGAGGTAAGCACCATGAAAGTGCATCCAGTAAAATGTCTAACACGTAGCTTTATCTCTCTCTTACTACATATTTTGAGAATATATATGTATATTTTCAAAGTCAATATTACTGGATTCAGTAATTCAGTTCAATAATTTAGTGATAATGTACTACTTGAAAGCAAATATGCCAAGTGTCAAAAAGAATGCAGAATTTTTTGCTTTTGTTTGGCTTTGTTTTGTTTTTTCTCCTTCAAAGAGCTTACAATTTCATAGGAGAATTAAGACACATCCACATAAAGTCACAGATCAGCTCCCAACATAAAGAACATCACCCATAAGTACTATGCTACTTTAAAAAATCATCTGTGTGAAACAACTATGTGGTCAATGATTACTTAAAGATGAGAAGGTAAGGGGGAAGGGAAATTAGATTAATGGAAGTGGGGCAACCAGAAAAGAAATGCTAGGATGCTCCCTCATTGTGAAGAAGGTAACCAATGTCACTGAACAACTTGTGTAGAAATTTGTCAACTGGGAACTTAAACTGCTGTGTAAGCCTTCACCAGAAACATGCTACTATTTAAAAAATAATAATAGCATAATTACTGAAGCAGTTTGGTAAAAGTAGAATAAATAAGTTAAGAGTTCTGGGATGTGCAGCACACATGCTGACATCCTTCTCCTCTCACAGGCTTCATTGCATTTTCCGCCATGCCAGAGCTGGCTCAGAAAATCAAAATGTATTTTGCTCTGGCACCTATAGCTACTATCAAATATGCAAAAAGCCCTGGAGCCAAATTATTGTTGCTGCCACATATGATGATCAAGGTATGTAACTCCTCAGATAATTCTTTGTCTGTGTAGAAGAGTGTTCCCTCCCAATTTGCTAACGCGTGTACTTTTAAATGAAAGACACTTTTTTCCTGCCTATAATGTAATGACTATTGTTTTATTTCATATTTTTACAGGGATTGTTTGGCAGAAAAGAATTCTTGCACCAGAACAGAATTCTCAGACAGCTTTTGATTTACCTTTGTGGCCAGGTGATAATTGATCAGATTTGTAGCAATATCATGTTACTTATGGGTGGATTCAATTCAAACAATATTAACATGGTAAGTGGGAGACTAGTAAATTCTTTGTTTCCCAAAGCAAAGCTGGGAGTTATTAATCTTACTCCTAGAGGGTGAGCTAATGACACTGAAGACTTAGAAAAACAACATACACTCTCTCTTTCAGCTCTCTACAAATTCTAATACTGTTAGGGAAGTTCTTCTGCATGGGCTGAGGCAATGTTAACTTAAGGCCATTGCTAGATGTTAGCTTTACAGATTATGGGTGGAAGAGGTCTGAAAGCTGCTTTACTAGAGTGAATCAACAATGAAAAAAAAAAAAGTTTTAGAACCCAGCAGTCAAAGGAAAGGAATGGCGTACAGCATCCACCTGTTCCGTCTACTTGGATCCTTCAGGCATGTGGTTTAAGGCCTTTGTGGAAGTCACAGGGTGGGTTCCCTTAAAAGCACGCTCTGAGATGATGTTTAGTGTGCAGACTGGGTTTGGGTTGTGCTCTTGGAAAGAAACATATGTGGGCAGATGGAAATGCTGAGCTGTGATACAGTCCCAACAGAAGCTTCAGTTGGTCCTACAAAGAATTGTGACTATGAGATGATTATTTTGGAGCCTTCCTAAGTAAGAGTGAGATGGCTGAGCCCTTAATCCCACATCAATCAGTCTTTTAATGAAGGCCACCCCAGATATGAGGGACTCACTGAGCAAGGCAGCTGGGACAATCCCCAAGGGGAAATGACTGTGGAGGGCTGTCTGCCAGCAGCATACCCAGGAGCTGGGGGAATAAGTCTTTAATTCCAAAAGAACTTTTTATTAATAATACACTAATTTCATTAAGAGCTACCATTTGGTAAACATTTATTACGTGCTGTGCTAAATTCAGGAGCTCTGGTGGTGGAGTGCCTAAGGCATTTGACTGCTAACTAGAAGGCTAGAGGTTCAAATCCACCAGCTTACTCCTTGGAAGGAAGACTGGCAATCTACTTCTTTAGAGATACTGCCTCGGAAACCCAAGGAGGGGTTGCTATGAGTAGGATTCGACTCAACAGCAATGAGTTTGAGTTTTCTTTTTATTTATTTTTTTGGTGCTAAATTCATCCCTGTAGCACTCCCATGAGAGAGATTATCAACATCCTCATGAATTTACAGATTAGTAATTGACGGCAAACAACAACAACAACAATTCTGACAATTAGTGAGATTAAGTAATTCACTAAAATTCACCTAAAAGTTAAATGCCAAAGCCAGGATTTGAATACAGGCAGCCCAGTTCTGGAGTCCTCATCCTTAATAAAGGAGCCCTGGTGGCACAACAGTTAAGCTCTCGCTGCTAACCAAAAGGTGGTGGTTCAAACCCACCTGGTGACTCTGCTGGAACAAAAGACCTGGTGATACACTCCTATAAAAATTACAGCCTAGAAAACCCTGTGAGGAAGTTCTCTGTCACAGGGGGTCACTATGGCTCCAAATTGGCTCAATGGCTCCTCCTGCTCCCTGAGCTATCTCCCTGTGCATGCACAGCCCTTCTATTCTCCCATGATTGTTCTCTCCAAAGAGTGTCTCTACCTAACAAGAACAGTATACTTAATAATTCCAGTTAAAAAAAAAAAAAATTTAAAGAGGTCAAATCTCTAGTAAGAAGTTATTCTTAGATGAAAAAATGCAGGTGCCCAGGAATATGTTTAGTAATAAATGTTTATTTATGTGCACATTTATATTAGTGTTTCACTGATAATTGCTGATGATTTAATAATGTTCCCATTTCTTAGTCTGACACCCTGGGGATTTGGTCTTGGGCATGTATACAGCTTGTGAAATTTTCTAAGTCCCACAAGCCACTCATGCTTTCTTACAGAGCCGAATGAATGTGTATGTTGGCCATACTCTTGCTGGAACATCTGTGCAAAACATCCTTCACTGGAGCCAGGTAAGAGAGTTGAATGAATGTGTGGTCTTTACAAAGGGCATTACACTTTTTTTTCTGGAATACTCAAAAGATGCCCTTGTGACAGCCAAGGAGTTTTTCCATATTCGTTTCAAAATGTAACTCAACTCTGCCATTGCTATTTCAACTATAAATTTAATCTAAAGCATTAAAAATTTTAGGAGATGAGAGGACTAGACAGCAGTAGCCCAATGACATGGTTAATGAATCTTAAAATGTGAATTAGGGTGGGCCACATGAGACATTTCTCTGTCTCTAGCCACAAAAAGATGAGGCTAGAGAAGACCTTGTTTCTACATTCTCCTTTTGGCTCTTCCAGAAGTATGGCCAATAGTAACCCAAATTGCTAAGGCAATGTCTGAAATTAATGGCCTTGATTGCTCAAAGAGGTTTTAAAAATTGTTTTGCAATTTTTT